CCCCCCCCCCCCAAGCATCTGGTGATTGTAGAAGGGGCCAGGGCACTGGTTAACCCACTGGGAAACCAGTCTAGATTCAAAGGTCTCGTCACCTGCTCTTGGGCACCTGTTTGAACCTTAAGTGGGTCCTGCCTGGGCTTGTATTTGTCAGGGCTTTTACTGCAGCGGGCGAGGTGGTGGCCGAGGGGTGGAAGCTCTCCACTGTGGCTGGCGAAGCTACCCTGGAAAGGACAGAGGATATGGAGGGGGAAGACGAGGGTGGGGGGAAAATGAGCGCGAAGAAAGGAGTGTGGACTGTTTGATATGATTTCAAGTCCACCTGCTTATGACTCCAATGAAGTTGTTTTGATCTAGGAGTGAAGCTGTTTACATTGCGGAGCTGTGGGATGTTGCCATGACATCTGCTGTCGTNTCCAATGAAGTTGTTTTGATCTAGGAGTGAAGCTGTTTACATTGCGGAGCTGTGGGATGTTGCCATGACATCTGCTGATAAACCAGCCCAGCTGGTGGCAGGCACAGCTACAGCTAGAGGACAGTCAGCCTTTAAATACAAGACTGTGAGGACTCCCCGAATGCTTGGTCTGGGCAAGGGGACTCTGTTCATCTAAACAGCCCTCTGAAGACCTTGGGCACGAGCTCCTGCCGTGGTAAGACGACTCTTTCCCGGCAGTGGTAAAAACCCAGCAGCAGCCCCGGGAAGGAGGGCATCTTGCCCACTGACACAGGGCCCTCATTCCCTAGCAGCACGGTCTGACAACAAGCAACCTTCTCTTTGCCCTGGCAGCCGGACAGCAGCTCTTCGAGAACCACTCACCAGCTCAGAGGGAGGGACACTTCCACCGAATTTATTTCCCTTAAATTCCTCTTGCCTGAAACAACTGTAACTTCTTTCAAAGTGTGTTATTTCTTTACTGGCTTATGAAGAGACATTATCCTGTTGCCACTGGCTTGTGAAACTATTATAATTCCCACAGTGAGCCTGTGCTAAATAAATTACTGGCAAAGACAATCTATTTCTGAGCATAAATTTGCTGCCCTAACAATGGGGCTCTAGGTTTGCTGGCTTTGTGATGCTGAGCAAGTCAGTGTCTCTTCACCTGTAAGATGGACACTGTGAAGCGCTGGCATAGAACATGTGCTTCTGCATAAATCCTTCTCAATGGCAGTGGAAGGCAAGGACTGAGACAAGGACTAAAACTGAGACAAGGACTGTCCCTGGAGATACTACTGTGCCTTAAGTTTTGTGCCTGAGGCCTACTTTCTCTCTGTGTCAGAAGGAAATCAGCAAGTGTTAAAGAGGTGTGAGAAATACTGGTAATTAAAGCAAACACTTAAATAGCACTTATTATGTGTCAAGCACTTTGCAAGCTGGGATTCAAATNAGAGGTGTGAGAAATACTGGTAATTAAAGCAAACACTTAAATAGCACTTATGTGTCAAGCACTTTGCAAGCTGGGATTCAAACAGAACAGAATAGCTGTCAGGATCGTCAGGATCATAACCACATCAATATACTGTCTTTAAATTAGCACCAAACTACAACCTCAAATCCATGGGGCACAGTGAAAGCAGTCCTGAGGGGGAGGTTCATAGCACTGAAGGGCCACCTCAAAAGGCAAGAAAAACTTCTAACAGACTCTCTAAACCTGCAACTTAAAAACTTAGAAAGAGAACAACAAGAAAAGCCCAGAGTAAGTAGAAGGAAAGAAATAATAAATATCAGAGCAGAAATAAATGACATAGAGACTAAAAAAAACAATACCAAAGGTCAATGAAGCCAAGAGCTGGTTCTTTGAAAAGATAAACAAGATTGATGAACCTTTAGACAAACTCATGAAGAAACAGAGNCAAAGGTCAATGAAGCCAAGAGCTGGTTCTTTGAAAAGATAAACAAGATTAATGAACCTTTAGACAGACTCATGAAGAAACAGAGGACCCAAATAAATAAATTAGAAATGAAAGAGGTGAAGTAACAACTGACACCACAAAAATAAAAAGGATTGAAAGAAAATACTATGGACAACTATACGCCACCAAGCTGGACAATCTGCATGAAATGGACAGATTCCTAGAAAAATTCAAACTTCCAAAAATCAGGAAAGTTCAGAAAACCTGAATAGGCTGATAACTGCTGATGAAGTTGAAGCAGTAATCAAAAAACTCCCAGCACACAAAAGCCCTGGTCTGGATGGCTTCACAGAGGAGTTTTACCAAACATTCAAAGAAGAACTAACACCTACCCTCAAACTACTCCAAAAATCCAAGAGGAAGGAACACTTCCAAGGAACACTTCTTACAAGGCCAGCATTAGCCTAATTCCAAAACCAGATAAAGACACTACAAAGAAAGAGAATTATAGGCCAATATCCCTGATGAACATAGATCCCAAAAGCGTCAACAAAATATTAGCAAATCAGATCCAGCATTAAAAAGATCATACACCATGACCAAGAGGGATTTATTCCAGGGATGCAAGGCTGGTACAATATTTGCAAATCAATAAATGTGATACATCACATAACAAATTGAAAGACAAAAATCACATGATCATATCAATAGATGCAGAAAAAGCATTCGATAAAATCCAACACCCATTTTTGATAAAAATTCTCAGCAAAGTGGGAATAGAAGGATCATACCTCAACATAATAAAGGCCATATATGACAAACCTACAGTCAATACCATACTCAATGGGCAAAAACTAAAACCATTTCCCCTAAGAACTCGAACAAGACAGGGATGTCCACATTCACCACTCTTATTCAGCATAGTACTGGAAGTCCTAGCCACAGTGATCAGACAAGAAGAAAACATAAAAGGCATCCAAATTGGAAAGGAGGAAGTAAAACTGTTATTATTTGCAGATGACATGATATTGTACCTAGAAAATCCTAAAGACTCTACCAAAAAGCTACTACATTTAATAAATGAATTCAGTAAGATAGCAGGATACATAATTAATACCCAGAAATCAATGGCATTTTTATACATCAAAAATGTACTCCCAGAAAGAGAAACTAAAAAATAATCTCATTTACCATTGCAACTAAAAAATAAGATACATAGGAATAAACTTAACCAAAGATGTAAAAGACCTATACTTGGAAAACTACGTGACACTGAAAAAAGAAATAGAGGAAGATATAAAAAAAAAAAAAAAAAAGGAAAAACATACTACGTTCATGGATTGGAAGAATTAGAATTAAAATCANAAAAAAAAAAAAAAAAAAGGAAAAACATACTACGTTCATGGATTGGAAGAATTAGAATTAAAATCATTAAAATGTCCATACTACCCAAAGCAATCTATAGATTCAATGCAGTCCCTAAGCATATTTCACAGATCTAGAACAAACGCTTTGAAAATTTATATGGAACCAAAAAAGACCCTAAATAGCCATGGCAATCTTGAGAAAAAAGAACAAAGTTGGAGGGATCACAACACCAGATATCAAATTATACTAAAAAGCCACTGTAATCAAAACAGCCTGGTACTGGCACAAGAACAGACATATAGACCAATGGAACAGAACAGAGACCCCAGAAATTTACCCATGCCATTATGGTAATTAATATTTGACAAAAGAGGCAAGAGCATGCAATTAAAGACACTCTCTTCAATAAATGGTGTTGGGAAAATTGGACTGGTATATGCAAAAAAATGAAACTAGACCACCAACTTACACCATACACAGAAATAAACTCAAAATGGATAAAAGACTTAAATGTAAGATGTGAAACCATAAAAATCCTAGAAGAAAATGTAAACAGCAAAATCGCAGACATCTCTCATGGCAATATGTTTGCCAATACATCTCCTAGGGCAAGAGAAACAAAGGAGAAAATAAACAAATGGGACTACATCAAAATAAACAGCTTCTACACAGCAAGAGAAACCATCAACAAAACGAAAAGGGAGCCCACTGTATGGGAGAACATATTTGCCAATAACACATCTGATAAAGGGTTAATATCCAAAATATATAAGGAACTCATACAACTTAACAAAAGGAAGACAATTTAATCTAATTAATCCAATTAAAAAATGGGCAAAAGACCTAAATAGACACTTCTCCAAAATGGACATACAGATGGCCAAGAGACATAAGAAAAAATGCTCAACGTCGATAATCATCAGAGAGATGCAAATTAAAACCACAACGAGATACCGTCTCAGACCTGTCAGAATGCCTATCATCAACAAATCAACGAATGACAAATGCTGGTGAGGATGTGGAGAAAGGGGAACCTCGTACACTGCTGGTGGGAATGCAGACTGGAGCAGCCACTATGGAAAACAGTATGGAGATTCCTCAAAAAATTAAAAATGGAACTGCCTTATGACCCAGTGATTTCAGTTCTAGGAATATATCCTAAGAAACCTGAAACACTAATCAGAAAGAACTTACACATNAAACCATAAAAATCCTAGAAGAAAATGTAAACAGCAAAATCGCAGACATCTCTCATGGCAATATGTTTGCCAATACATCTCCTAGGGCAAGAGAAACAAAGGAGAAAATAAACAAATGGGACTACATCAAAATAAACAGCTTCTACACAGCAAGAGAAACCATCAACAAAACGAAAAGGGAGCCCACTGTATGGGAGAACATATTTGCCAATAACACATCTGATAAAGGGTTAATATCCAAAATATATAAGGAACTCATACAACTTAACAAAAGGAAGACAATTTAATCTAATTAATCCAATTAAAAAATGGGCAAAAGACCTAAATAGACACTTCTCCAAAATGGACATACAGATGGCCAAGAGACATAAGAAAAAATGCTCAACGTCGATAATCATCAGAGAGATGCAAATTAAAACCACAACGAGATACCATCTCAGACCTGTCAGAATGCCTATCATCAACAAATCAACGAATGACAAATGCTGGTGAGGATGTGGAGAAAGGGGAACCTCGTACACTGCTGGTGGGAATGCAGACTGGAGCAGCCACTATGGAAAACAGTATGGAGATTCCTCAAAAAATTAAAAATGGAACTGCCTTATGACCCAGTGATTTCAGTTCTAGGAATATATCCTAAGAAACCTGAAACACTAATCAGAAAGAACTTACACATCCCTATGTTCATAGCAGTGCAATTTACAATAGCCAAGATCTGGAAACAGCCCAAGTGCCCATCAGCAGATGAGTGGGTAAAGAAGCTGTGGGACATTTACACTGTGGAATACTATGCAGCTGTAAAAAAGAAGGAGCTCTTACCCTTTGGGACAGCATGGAGGGAACCGGAAAGTATTATGCTAAGTGAAATAAGCGAGGCAGAGAAAGACAAACATCACATGATCTCACTCATATGTGGAATGTAATAAACAAAATAAACTGATGAACAAAATGGATCCAGAGACATAGAAGCATGGAACAGACTGAGGGCCCTCAGAAGGAAGGCAGGGGTGGGGAGTAGGTGGGGAGAGATTAATCAAAGAACTTCTATGTTTATAAGCATAACCCATGGACACAGACACTGGTATGGGGAAGGCCCGGGGGTGGGGTGGATGTGGGGTGGAGGGAATCAATAGGGGGAAAAAAGGGGACAACTGTAATACTTTCAATAGTAAAGATTAAAAAAAAAAAAGAAACTGGAAAAAAAAAATTTAGCACCAAACTGGCACTACCTCACTAAGAACAGAGAGAAGGGACTGAGAAGATAACGTTCTCATTACGGGATTCTATGCTGAGTAACACCTGGTCCTTGAACAACAGGGCCTAGAACCATCCTCCGGCCCCGCCCTTAGGGAAACAGCGCCACACACCATCTGAATACTAGATGTCACCCTTCTCATCTTTCAGGACTCGCCCATCTCCCCAGTGGACACAGCTCCTTTCTTCCATTTTACTTGCATTTGAAATGAGCCATCATGTTTTGGATGTGGATTTTGTATTATTAATACTTGAAGATTCACTTTTACATGCATCCTGGATTCTGACTGTGGGGCATAGTGATTGCACTCTTAAAGGAGGAGCCAGCACAGTAGGATCTTTGCACTGGGGACTCCTCTCCCTCTTTCCCGCTCCTACTCATTGGTGAGGCAGAGGCGGCCTGGACTGTGGCTGATAAATGTAGGACTGGTCCTTATACTCCTGGGAAGTCGGGTATTTATATGAAATAAGGTGAAATGCAAGTCATCATCTGAAGTTAGTGAAAGAATCCTTCAGAATCTCAAGACTATTGACATTTCTTCATTTCCTTTTAATTAAGGTTGCTTTCCCGTAAGTGCCAATACTCGAGAAAAGTAAGACTGGACTATTTCCCTGATTGTTTGACAGTATAAACACTGTATTGTTTTGGACAGATTATCATTTCACAGGTGTGGTATTTAAACTCTAGTTTAGATTAGGTAGATGGTTATGGGTCAGGCTTGCACCTGGCCACCCCTGCTGACAATTGCTTCTATGGTATGAAGAATTCTGAGTTCTAGACAATCCACTCACCATCTTGGGAAGATGGCTCACAACTGAGAGTCAGCCAAAAACCAGTGTCCTGGTTATTCTAGACTCCAAAGGTTAATTCTTCTGCCATAACTCTCCCTCTTCCACTCTCTCTAAATCAATGGAAAGAATATAGTCGTGTGAGGATTAACCAAAAAAACAAAAACAAAAAAGCAAAACACATAAAGGCAGAGGATTAGAGCTGGGTGCTTAACTAGTCTTTTCCGGTCCTGGGATCCTATGTGAAGAGAAGAAATACCCAGAGCTGGACACATTCTGCATCCCCTCGCTATGACCTGTAGACTGTGTGACTCAGTTAAAGCACAAAGGTTTTTACCAGTAAGTCCTGTGTCTGGTTAACGTGTGTAACCAGTAGTCCATTGTCTAGATTCTGGCCAAGTCCACTGACATCCTTCTGGTTCGGCTGCTTCTTTGGATCTCTGTCAACGTTCCTCTTCATGCTACAAAACAGCGCTCTGATCAGTGCCCGGCCCTGGATGTTGACTCTAGAAGCAATGTTATTTCTGTGCAGTAACTGGGGAGGGGTCCTGTAGGGTCCTGATAAAATGTGGACCCCAGGTTCATGAGGCCCTCAGGGATGAGAGAATGCAATGACCATTTACCTGCCTCACTTCAAGGCAGGTATTTCTCCCTCAACTCCCAAGAGCAAATATTATTATTGTTTTAATTTCCAAAATCAGAGCAGATGCTTACCAGCGATTCTCCAGATACTTATTGTCTTGACTTTGGGAGACATGACTGGTTTGTGCAGCCATTATAGAAACACTCCGTGCTTATTTTCCTAGGGAGACAAAGAATTCCAGAAATGAGAAAGGTAAGTGCAGCATGCGGACAACAGCCCTGGGGGATACCTATATTCAGCTCAGCTCTCCTTTAACTCACCCAATGAACTCATCAAATGCCCCCGAGGTGCCAGGCTTTGTGCTAGGTGCTGAGGGTAAAATGTCAAACAAGGTAACAAGGGTTTCCCAGTCTTGGCCCTGCTCACATTTTGGACCAGATCGTTCTTTGTTGTGAAGCTGTCCCGTGCCTTGCAGATTGCTTAGCAGCATCCCTGGCCTCTGCCTATTAGATGCCAGCAGCACTCCTGTCCCCGAAGTTGTGACAACCTGACACGTCTGCAGACATGGCCTGATGTCTCCTGGGAGCACAGTCATCCCCAGCAGAACCACTAAGTGAGACTTGTCCGTGTCCCTTGCAGGGCTTGATTCCAGAGGGGGAGACTGATGTTGAAATTACATTAATTACACATTATGGAAAGTGCTGTGGAGGAAGCAAACGGTGCCGTGATGGAGGGCAGTCAGGAGGGGCTCTACCCTAGGTTAAGGGGTCAGCGAAGGTGCCTTCTGAGCTTAGACCTGGAAGGTCTAAGGAGGTGGCTGTGTTGAGAGTATGGCAAAGGCTTCATGAGAAAGGGGACAGCAAGTGACCACAGCGATTTTGAGAAGGTCGGGAAAGGAAAGTATTGGGATAGGGCTGCATTTTTTCTCTGAGAACCGCATCTCTCTCAGAGGGCGGAGTCCCCAGCCCGCCNATTTTGAGAAGGTCGGGAAAGGAAAGTATTGGGATAGGGCTGCATTTTTTTCTCTGAGAACCGCATCTCTCTCAGAGGGCGGAGTCCCCAGCCTGCCTCTCTCAGCTCAGTGACTCAGTGGTGACATGTACCCAACAAGGATCAGTAAGCTTGTCTGGGAAGCATTCAGAAGCTGTCCTGGGAGAACAGGGTCGTTAGGGGTCACTGCCCGCCGAGNTCTCTCAGCTCAGTGACTCAGTGGTGACATGTACCCAACAAGGATCAGTAAGCTTGTCTGGGAAGCATTCAGAAGCTGTCCTGGGAGAACAGGGTCGTTAGGGGTCACTGCCCAACGCGGGCTCCGTGCAGCCACTCTCTCCCGGCAGGCCCCTCCTCCTTTCCCTGAGCCTTTAGTCGGTGTCCCCAGGCTCATTGGAGACCTTCCTCCTCTCTTGCGGGGCTTCAGCTACACCGACACAACAATCACTCCCAGCTGTGTGTCAGAAGCCCACACCCGCTGGCTCCAGACCTGGGTATTTCCACCTGGAGCACCTCAGATTCAGCTCGGCCGAGACCCAGTCAGTCTCTACAAACCTGTCTACCCGCCCGTCCTCGAGCTTAGAGACGACTCGCCACCCGCCTACCGGAGTCAGAAACCTAGGAATTATTCTGGACACCTCGCTCCCTCTATCCAACCCATCGCCTAATCTCGTCTGTCTCTCCACTTATCTGTCCCCACTGACACTTCTCTTGTCCAGCCAGTCATCTCGGCCATGGACAACTTCACTAGACCCTAACTGGCCACCCTGTATCCAATCTGTTCTCCTCCCTAAAGCCCAATGGACGTTTTAAAGACAGAAATCCAATGTCACGCCTCTTCCCTCTCCTGCTTAAAACTGTTCGAAGACCTCCCTTCATTTCTAGGGTGAAGGGTAAGACCCTTACAATGGCCTCTGAGGCCTCGCGTGGCCTGGCTGCTGCGTCCCTACCTCGCCGGCTTCCCCACTTCCCCACCGCTCCCCGCTTCTGGGTTCCACGCACCCTCTCCCTTCGGCGCCTGGAGTGCTACGGTTCCTTTAACCACAGGGCCTTTCATGTGCTGTCTTTGCTCTGGAACATTCTTCTCCCAAACCACTCCTTCAAATTTCAGCTCAAATATCACTTCCTAGGGAAGTCTTCTCGAGCATCCCGCTTTGCTTCGGGTTGTTTTGTGTTATATAAACGCAGAGCTGTGCCTTTCTTTCAGAGCACTTATCTTAATTTAGAATGATACATTCATCAGTGTGATTTTAAAAACGTGTCTCTCTCCCATTAGGTTGTAGCTGACGTGGGAGGAGGGCCAGGGGGATAAGAAATACTTGGGGATGGGAGGTGAAGGGGGAGGAGGGTGAGAAACTGCCTTGGGTCTTGAATTTCTCATTACTGATCCCAAGCACTTGTGAGAACTGACTTGACTTTCTGCTCTCAGGTTCCATGAGGTAGCCCGTTCTTTATAATCCCTACTCTTTTGCCTAAGCTGGCTCATTGGGGTTCCTGTTATTAGCAACCAGAAAAATCTGGCAAGTGAGAAACTCCAAGGGAGATGCAGCCTGAACACAAGCGCGCGTTCTCCTGAAATCACTCAGGAGCCTGACGAGGGTGTGGCAACTTGCTCTTCTCTCCTGGTCTTTAATCCTTTATTCGGAGGATGCTTTGTTTTTTGGGGAGGCACCAAGATAACGCGGCAATGTCTTAAAAAACAACAGGCCTCACTCCAGTACGCTTGGCTGGGAGACTCTAGTGGCAGAGGCTGTCGAAAGGGAAACACCTCATAGACAGTGGGCACCCCTCGGTGTCTCAGTTCCATTTCAGGGACCGATTAACACGGAATGAACTGGGAGGCCTGCGGCCTGGCCTCGGGGTGACCGTGTGGGCCGGTGCAGGAGGGAGGAGGGCTGCAGAGCAACGTGCTGTGCGCTCAGGAAGGGCACTGGACCTGCGTTCGTCTGCAGGACGGAACAGGGACGACTCACTGCCCTGCCTGCTGCAACCCCGTCGTCCTCCAGAGGATCCAATCAGAGGGAGAATGGGAAAGGGCCCTGGAAACTGCCAGTGCTCCAGAGATGCAGCACCCGGTAGGCCACAGGGGCCACCTCTTCAAGCACTTCATGGGATACTTAAGCAACCCTTCATCCGTGAACATACAGGGCCGACTGGGAGCCAGAGTGCGCTGGCGCTGGGGGAGGCGAGGTCAAGCCTTTGTGCAAATGAAGCCTCGTTAGGGAGGCCTCCTTGAGCACCCCATCTCAAAGAGTAGTCCTCCCACCCTGCTTTCGTTTCTCCTCAGCACGTTCCATCATCTGTTATTTACTTATTTATTATCTGTCTCTCCCTGCTCTGTCCCCATAAAGCCACTAGAGGTAAGACTCACGAGGGCAGGAACTTAAGTTATGTTTGCTGCTAGAAGGCTTTTGCATAAAATAGTGCCTAGAACATAGTAGCTTNTCTGTCCCCATAAAGCCACTAGAGGTAAGACTCACGAGGGCAGGAACTTAGTTATGTTTGCTGCTAGAAGGCTTTTGCATAAAACAGTGCCTAGAACATAGTAGCTCNTTAAGTTATGTTTGCTGCTAGAAGGCTTTTGCATAAAATAGTGCCTAGAACATAGTAGCTTCCCCCAAATAGTTGTAGAATAAGTGCACTCAGGACAGGTCCAGAGTTTTGACAAAGGTGGGTAACCTTACTCTGGGGACTGGTCACAGGAGGGGGACATGGAAAATGGTCCTCGGTCATGGGTAGAGAGGTAGCCCTGATTAGTGGATAAAAGAAATCCTTCAGTTAGCTTCCTGTTTTGCTAAAAGCTGGATTTCAGATTCTCCTAAATACTTATCCAAAATAAAGCCATCCCAGGATTTGTATTTTTTAACGGCCAAATAACCTCCAGTCTTGCCTCCACCCGGTCCATTTTACATTCTGCTGACAGGCTGATTTTTCCAACATGCAGAGCTGTTCACCTTGCTACCTGTTCAGATCCAGCCCTGGACCCGCAGGCCGTGGGTAATCGCGGGAACCCTCACGGGCTTTTCTCACTCTTTCAGGTCGGGGCCTTCTTCCCCCCC